CCACCCCCCAACAGCTACAATTGACCAGAACATGTTGCAGCCACGCCTTCTGCATGGCCTCTGGGGCAATCCTGCTGAAGGCGGCAGTTGTGCTCGTGAAGTTCAATAGTCACCAAGGGGCGGCAACCTGATGCTTCTGAATTCTGCAGTGCAGGGCCTGCTGGCCACAGGTGCCTCCCACTCTATGTCATTCCTATGTCATGCCTCCCGAAGGCAGTCTCGGTAAGAAGGAGCCCAAGAGTGAGAAATCTGAGCAACCAAGGCCATGGTGAGCCAACACCAGAAACCGAGAAAAGCTGCCCTCTGGAGGTAAAGTGAGAAAAAAATAAAAATCAAGAGATTAATTGGCTGCTAAGAAAGCCCAGTCCACCTCTCTGTGATCATGAAGCAACCAACCTGTATACATAATACATACACACCGTGCCGACCCGAATATCAGCCAGGGCACCTAATTTTACTACAAAAACTGCATAAACAATGAGCTGAAACACTCGACTTATACATGAGTATACATGGTAATTATTAAGAGAAAGTGAAGAAATGAGTAGGTTGCATGGAAGTGCTTGCCTCTGAGGTGGGCCACTTTGCTGCTGAGACTGCAAAGGTGAAGAGGCAGGGCAGAGGTGGGAAGCCCAGGGGAAGGATGGATCTGACACGGTGAGCGCTGTGTCTGCCCATCGGGGCTTGGGTCCCAGGTCTCCACCGAAAGTAGCTTTGTCTCCTGGACCCCAGGTCCACTTGAAAATTTTTATATTAAAAAAATAGCTCCCTTACAAGGAGATATGAGACTACCGTAAGAACGAGTGCTCTGGTGGCGTTGGGGTTATGAGATGGGCTGCTAACCACAGGGTCAGGAGTTCGAAACCGCCAGCTGCTCGGGAAGAAAGATGAGGCTTTGGGCTCCCACAAGATTTGCAGCCTCAGAAACTGAGTTGGAGTCGAGTTGGTATTTTTTAGAACAAGAGCTGGGGCAGTGGGCAGCGGGAAGATAGTTAACACTCCCGGACAGAATCAGCAGGGCGCAGGGAAGGAAGGGTGGGAGAAGGCAGGCGAGAGGCTGGGGGTGGGTGATGAATTGCAGTGGTGCCAACTCTGAACAAAAGTGGAAAGGGAAGAAGAGATGGGAAGGGGAGGATAATTTGAGTTTAAAGGTGTCATTTGAGATGCTGAGAAGCAGGAAGAGAAATCAAGTTTGTAGATGGACTTACATGTCAAAATTCAAAGGCAGCTCAGTCTAAAATTAGGGCGACGAAAAGACACATTGCTTGGGCTCCAGGCTTGGCTGGAGGGAGCTTTTGAAACCCCCATTCCCAGGCCCTAGGACTGTCTGAAGGACTGGTCTCAGATTAGATGTCTCAGCATGAAGGCTGCTTTGAAGTCACCTGGGGAAGCTTTTCCAACTAAGAACCACAGTTGGTGAGTCGGAGCTGGACTCAAATTCTAACTTGGTAATCCATTCATTCGGCAGCCTTGGACACGTTACTGCAGCTCCTTCAGCCTCCCTTCCACCTCAGTTGACTGGAGCAGGCCTGCCTGCTTGGAAGAGTGAGAGATGGCCCATCTTCCTCGATTCTGCTGACTCTCCACTTCACCAAGCATGATGTCCTTTGATAGGAACTGGGATCTGACTCATCGCAGCCCATCCAGAGTTTCCAAGACTGTAGGTCTTTACAGAAGCAGCCAGCCTCATCGTTCTCCTGCAGAGCAGCCAGTGGTTTGGGACCACCAAACTTGTCCCATGCTTACGCAATAGCACTGTAACTCACTGCCATTGAATCAATGCCAACCCACAACTATCTGATCATAGCCCCAACTCGTGACCACTACAGCACCACAAGCGGACCCTTAAATTCACAAATACATGACTTTACTCATCCAGAGCTTCCAAAAATGAAAATACTTCAAAAAGGCAAATGGTCTTTCCAACATTTCAGAAGCACAACTTGTTCAATTTTTTTCCATTCCAAAGAGAGTGATGTTTTCTTTACCATCAGGTTTCAGCATCAAACCTCTCCAGCCTACCACTTTGATGCCACTATAAATAATAGACAGGAGGGTCGTGCAGTGGTAGTACAAAGATGTGTATGCTATCGAGTTAAAGAAAACAGCATGTGTGGGCCTACATTCTGCGGAGCTTCTGCAGCTATGAAGGAGGCTCTGCACTCTGCCTCTGTGTCAGTCCGGGTACACTAGAGAAACAAATCCAGAGACACTTGTATGTATATAAGACAGAGCTTTCTATAAAAGAGCAATTGTATATTGAAAAAACATCCCAGCCCAGTCCAGATCAAGTCCACAAGTCCGATGCTAGCCCATATGTCTGATACCAGTCTGTAAATTCCTCTTCAGACTCACACAACACATGCAATGACGTCGAGTGCAGGAAGATCACAGGCCAGTGGGTGGAAAGTCTTGTAGATCCAGTGGCAATGGAAGCATCTCAGCAATGATGTGGGTCTCCAAGTGGCTCCAAGGCCCTGGCTGCCATGAGCGTACCTCCATGTGGCTTGTCAACAGGAATGTCTCACGGGGAGATGAAGCAGAGTCTGTGTGTGTGTCTGGCCTCCAGTGAGCTATTTCTCTCCTTCGTGCCTCCAAGTGAGGTCAGCAAGCTGAGACCTGATTGACAGGCTAGACTCTACCCCTTCACAAGTTGACACCAGATTATGTAACTACCACAACCTTCCTCACGGTTATAAACTCGAGGTGTAAGGGAAGCGCCTTAAACTGTACAAAACTAGATAGGAGGGAGCTTCAAAGAGTTCTTGGGAAAATATCCATTGTCTCCTAATTCCATTTTCCCATGAAATTTTAGAAGCCTCCTAGGCGGGGGAGGTGAGACTGGACTCCCATAAAGAGTAACAGCCTCAGAGACTCTCAGGGGCAGTTTTACCCTGTCCTCTAGGGGTGCTATGAGTCGGCATGGCCTCGATGGCAGGGAGGTGCATCTGTATGAGGAGCTCTGGTGGGTGGAGTGGATTACACATTGGGCTGCACCACAAGGACAGCAGTTCGAACCCACCAGCTGCTTTGTGAGAGAGAAAAAGCGTTCTGTGCCTGTAGGGTGATGGGGGCTGGTGGGGAACAGAGAGAGTGAAGAAATTCGTCTGATAGCCTTACCGGAGGTGAGAGCATGAGCAGTTAGCACACACTCACACGAAGCAGAAACTCACACTAGGCAGAAGGAAAAGAGAACCAGCAACAGTGAGGAGTTGGTTCTGTGTTGAGCACACCACAGCTGCACCTCTTGCTGGGGTCAGAGCACCACTGGGTCACACTCACCCAACAGGGAAGCCACGATGCCCACCAGCCCTGTGCCGGCACCCAGCTCCACGGCAGAACAGCCCCTGAGCTCCACGGCTCCCAGCTCCAGGTAGGTAGAAAGAACCACGGCCTGAGTCAAAACACAAGTGTGATTGTGATTAAGGTCGACAAGCGCTTTATGGGCTGCAGGGTTGTGGTAGGCTAAGCAATGACAGGAACTTAGACAGCACACACACCACCCCCACCCCCACCCGCTTCACAGTGATGTCCAAGAGCACAAACAGCACTGCACCCCCAGGCCCACCCAAGTCCCCAACAGGCTGGCGTTACTGCTACTCAGTGGGCACGCTGCCCACATGAGTCAGGGAGCTGCTGACTCTGGGGAGCTTCCTTTCCATGCAGCCTCACGGTCCTTTGCCATGTAGGCTTATGAAATGATCACACAATCCCTATCATTATAAGGACCTGTCCAGTTCCTAGACCAAGCTCCAGTACACAAGGCCCCAGCCTCACCCGGAAAAAAGCAGAGCATCACCCACAGGTCCCAGAGCTGGGTACCTCCCTCCTGCTCCCGACCCACAGGGGCCCTCGCCAAGGACTCTGAGCCAAAATGTTGGTACCTGATGTGTGAACAAGCAGTTGTCACTGTGAACCTAACGTTTACTATAACTTGCTTTTCACAGGCATCTAAGGTTGCAATAAAGTATAATGAACAGTTCCGCCTCCTGGGGAGCACTGGTCACCCTTCTGACTCCCTACACCAATACCTTTCATGTAGTTACCCTGGGCTGGATTCCCAGGAGCGAGGTTACTAGGCTAGACTATATAAAAGTTTTCATTCCTGAAGGTTTACCTGACGTTGCCAGTACATTGTTAATTATGCAAAACCGTGCAGATACCAATCACTTATCCAGCAGAGTCCCGGTGTGGAGGGGAGCCACTTAGGACACACACCACTCTCCTCAAGCCAGTGGCAAAAGGGGACTTGGAAAGGAAGATGGTAGGACAACTACACCCACTCCTCACCTATCAGTGGGGTTAGGTCCCAATGACCACGTCATTAATAAAAAGGTAGGTCACACCTCCACAGCTCATCCAAATGCCACCTCCCCCACGATCTGGATCTGGGGCCGGGGATGGGTTGAAAGAACCCAAGAAGGGAGGGATGGGTGAGTCAGAGGCCCCCCTACCCACCACCACTGCCACCCTGCTCATCCACCCTCTACCCTGGCCTCCAAGGGGCTCCCATCTCTCTCCCCTGCTCCCTGCCTCTCCCCACTGACCACCCACATTGTCCTGCCACAGCCCCTAGCCCTTTGTGTACAGGCCAATATGTCCACCCAAACAGGAGAAGTTACCCAGTGTTGGTCACATAGCCAGGTCATGGCACGGGTCTCAGGTAGATTATTCAGGGCACCCTGTTGGGGGTCACCCTCTGCCTGGGCCTTAGGTCATAGAAGACCCATCTGAGAATTATTTCAAAATTATCTTAAATTCAGATAACACAGGAGGTGAAAGGAGAAGAGTAGTTATAGCCTCATATTCGAACGACAACAATCGAACAAAATGAGGCTTTCGACGCCGGTAAAGATAATCGAACAAAATGAGGCTTTCGACGCCGGTAAAGAGGGAAACCCCCAGGGACAGTTCTCCCTGTCCTATAGGGCTGCTATGGGTCAGCATTGACTCAATGGCAGTGAGAGAGTTTGAAGATGACAACGATGGAAAACTTCAAGAAAACAAATGATCCCAATTCCAGGAATTATCACTTTACAATATTCTCTGTGCACATTTTTAAAGACTAAGTTAGTGGGTGTCACAGGCTAAGTTAGCCTTGTGCCCCTCACCTATTGCCCCCTCCCACAGCTCTCGTGCACACACATACACACCCACGAATTGTAATTTGGTAGGCAACAAGGGAAGCGACTGCTCATGAGTGTATTTTGCAGGGGAAAGATGATGACATGTTCCAAAATTTACTGTAGTGATGGTTACACGAGTCTGCGTGGCCTAAAACCACTGAACTGGACATTTTAAATGGACAAACTGTACTGCTTGTGGATAAAGAATCACTCAAGAAAGCTGTTTTTTGAAAATTGTAATTAAATCATTTGTGCACCAGTCTGATAGAGTGAGTGTTTGGGGTCCCGGGGTGTACTCACAGCATCCCAAACCACAGCAGCAACTCCCAGCTGCCTCCAGTCCTGCCGGATCTGGATAGTGCTGTTTGCGAAGGAGAAGGTGGCAAGAGGCTTGTGGAGTTTCTGCAAGCCCATCCCGGCCGCTGCCTCTTCATAGGGTACCAGGGCCATCTCGCCCATGCCCAGCTCTCTGCTCCCTCACACCTGTCGGGCAGGAGCGTCACAGGTAATGAGCAGACAACACATGATCTCTTCAGCAGCTGCAAAGTTCTTAAGGTCAAAAGAAGGAAAGAATATGGGATTGAGATGCAGGAAGGGCAGGCTGGAGAGCAAAACGGGTGTCTAATCCTTTTGCATGGCTCTTCCTTCCAGTCTTCGGGGACCCGAGAATTAGCTCTAAATCCAGGGTGCCTTTGGGCAAAAGAACGCAGGACATTACAAGCCCCGGGTGATTCCCTGCACACCCCACAATTACCCCTCCTGGGAGCAGGGCAAGGCTGGACGAAATGAGGGATGTGGGGCTTCCTACATCGCCCTGACTGCATGCACTGCTACCACAGCCCGACACATGTCTGTCTGGGTTTGGGGGCGGTAGGGTGTGTGTCTGTGTGTCGTGCGTGTGTGTGTACGTGAGTGTGGGGTGGGAGTTGCGGGGGGTGGGGGGAGTGGTGCGGAATTTGAACTTGGGGCTAACCACGTGATCCTGCTGACTGACAAACCGGATCGATGCTATCGAAGCTGTTGGATCGTAGCGACTGAATGCTCCAGGGCCCCTCGTGGAATCCGAGAGGCTTGCTGGAGCTCCAGGCCCCCGGCCCGGGCGGGTTCGGG